TCTACTTAATACGCATAGTGGTGCAAGGTATCATATAGTCGGCCCCGCCCGACTTTTGACCTTTCCTTGCTGCTTTTCACTTGATATATAAATATTTCGAATGTTACTTTCATAAAAACTATTGCACTTAGATATATGGTTTATTCTGAGATTTATAGTGAAATAATGTGTATTTTAACACTTTCTGCCTAAAAATTTCCAGACCGATTTTTCGAGGGAAAGCCTAAATAATATCTACATCTCTTCAAAAGTTGCTGAATTTTGAGCAGCAAAATATGCTTCTGGATTATTGTGCAGAGAATTTGAGTTGGTCAATCACTTAAGTAGTAGACAAAAAATTTTCAGTTCTCAGATTTTACCAACCAAAATAATATGTATTTCACTCTACTTTTGCAATTTTAATACGTCATTGCTTGAAAAGAATCTTGAAAAAAATATCTTCCGATTGATTGAAAATATTCTGTGATAAAATCGAAGATAAAAAATAAATATAAAAAAACAATACCAACCAGGAAAGCAATTGAAAACTGAAACCACAATCTGCTGTTTGTTGTTGTATTTGTTTTTGCATCAATTCCATTGTCTTGGAACTATTTCCTATGGCGAACATTCTTTTACTTATTGCTATTGAGCCTCAGTATTGGCTAAGGAGCAAAGCAAATAGTTGCTACAACTATACATTATTTTCCGACGTTCCGTCTGCCAATCGGTCTAGTTTGGTTTCTGTGCCGTCAAGCATAATAATACGGAAAGAGAAGAAATTCGAACATTTTAAACATTCATCGAAAAAGGGGCGGAATGTTGCTGAGGGGGAGGCAATGAAAAACCACAAACGAGGAAAAGGGAAAGAATATACAAATCTAAACACAGAGATTTTTATGATTGCAATTATTTTTGTTCATTTCAGCAGAAGCGCGTGTGTGTGTGAGTGGAGGAGCAGAAGGAGAAAAATAAGGAATAACAGGAATAAAACGTATCGTCTAGCAATGCCATGAAATTCTGCTGCAGATTGAGCAAAAGAAAAAGCGGAAGGAAAATAAGAAATAATATTCTTACTCTTTTCATAGAAATTGAAAGAAAAAGAAATTCCTTAAAGATGGGTTTATGCAAAGAGTGGTTTGGGGAGGGAAGAGGGAAATGCTCCATTGAAGGGTAAGCAAATATTTTTTTTTCGTTTTCTTGAATTCTGTCATAAGTACTTAAGGGACTTACAAGGACAGAAGTAACATTTTATTAAATGGAAACAAAGCTGTCCTTTTGAGAGCAGTTTTCTTTTCTGCTCTGCTCTCCTTGTGTGGCGAAGTCGTTGCCGACTTACCGACCCAAGTCACAATTGTCTACATTCACATATGACCAGTATCAAATCATTTGGGAATTCTGCATATCTACCTTTAAATTGTTTACTGTTCTGTATGATTGTGTGTGTGAGATTGTTGTTATTGAGTTGTGGAAATTTCTTTGCTGTTACTCAAAGAACTACTCCCGAATAACATCTTATTCGAAAGCAAAGGATTTGAGACCTCATAACAATTTACATAACAAATTTTCAGTTTTACATTTTATTTCATTTTGTCTCGTTGAAATCGACATCCCTTTTGGCAGGAGCCATGTTGTGAGGCTTGCGGAATAATGTTTTCGACACATATTATTCTTAAATAGATTTCTACTTATATGAGTATATTTTATTTTTATAAATACAAAATAAAACCAGTAAAGAATGTCCTAAAGTCGGGCGGGCCGACTTTATGATACCCTACACCACTTTGCTAATTTAGTAGAGCTCCGCACAACAATTAAACGTTTTTTTTTATGGGAGAATTCAAACATACACGCTATGATTATAATTATAATTTAAAGTTCAAAGGACTAAATATGCCGAAGCATTTGTATCTTTTAAATTCGGACTTGTATTGCCCATTTGGTGAAAAATTAATTTGAAACCAGATAAATATATATATGGGAGTTATATCCAAATCTGAACCGATCTCGATAAAATTTAGCAAAGATATTTCTGAGCTGTATTTGATATATTTCCCTGAATATCGTTGTTACGGAGTGCATATTAGGGTTGTGGGTAACAAATACAACAAATCGGGTGAACAATATATATGGGAGCTATAGCTATATCTGAACCGATCTTCACCAAAATTGACATACCAACTTCTATACTCAATTCGGTCGTAAGTGCCAAATTCTATCCCATTTGGACAAATATTAGACGTTTGGTGCACAATCAAAGCTAAATCGGACGAAGTTATGTGTGGGAGCTATGTTCAAATCTGAACCGATCTCGATAAAATTTAGCAAGGGTTTTTCTGAGCTGTATTTGATATATTTCCCCAAATATTGTTGTTAAGAATGCATATTACGGCTGCGGACTAAAATAACAAATCGGATGAACAATATATATTGGAGATATATCTGAACCGATTTCGATTAAATTTGGCATACTTATTTTCAGGCCTAATTTGATTGTATGTGCAAAATTTCATACTATTCGGGCTGATATTACACGTTTGGTGCACAAAAAAGGCAAATCGGACGAAGATATATATGGCAGCTATAATTAATTTGTTACCGATTATCTTCAATTTCAATAGGGTTCGTCCTTGGGCCAAACAAATGTTTCATCTCAATCGGATAATAAATGCGACCTGCATTTTGTTCACAAGAACGGACGGACTGACATGCATAAATCGAATCAGAAAGTGATTCTATGAAGATTCTCAAAAGTAACTATGGTTATATATCGCTTCCTTCTCCATGTTACAAACAAATGAACAAAGACATAATACCCTTACCACTATGTGTGTAGGGTATAAAAAATAATAATAAAAAAACAAGTAAAAAAGTTGTAAGTTCGGCCGGGCCGAACTTTGAATACCCTCCACCATTTGGTACAAATTCAAATTTTCAAAAAAAAAAAAAATAATAACTTTTCTTAAAAATTCTGTTAAAATCTTAAAAATACTGAATGTAGCCATATATTAGGGTCTATACGACGACGTGGACCTGCATTGGCAACTTTTGTCACAAGCTATTACAATATTCAAATGCGAAACATGAAAAAAAATCTGTTTATAATGTAGATAAAATCATCAAAATACCGAATATGGGGCGGTACCATGGGGTTTATAAAACGTGGACATGCACAGACAATTTTCCATCATAGGCTGTAGTATTTATTACGAACTTCAAATACTAAATTTGAAAAAAAAAAACAATTCCGGTAAATAATGTCGCTAAAATCATCAAAAGACCGTATATCAGGGGGGTACAGTTATATGGCGGCTATACGAAGAAGTGGACCTACATGGCCCATTTTCTGTTTTATGCTGTAGTATCTACTACAAACTTAAAATAGCAAATTTGAAACAATTGCGGTAAATAATGTCGCTAAAATCATCAGATTACCGAATATCGGGGGGTTCCGTTATATGGGGGCTATATGAAGAAGTGGACCTGCATGGCCCATTTTCTGTTTTATGCTGCAGTATCTGTTACGAACTTCAAATATCAAATTTGAAACAATTCCGGTAACTAATGTCGCTAAAATGATCAAAATTCCGAATATCTGGAGGTACCGTTATATGGGGGCTATACGAAGACGTGGACTTACATGGCCCATTTCCAACACCAAAAGTCCTGCATACATATTACACATTTAAGTGAAATTTTATCAACCTACTTCATTTCGTTCGGAAGCTAGAGTGATTTCCACAGACGGACAAACGGTAGACGGATAGACGGACGGACATTGATAAATCGACATGCTGAGCATGAATATATATACTTTGTGGGGTCTAAAATATATATTTCGAGGAATGATAAAACTTAATGTACCCTCCATACTATGGTGGAGGGTATAAAAATTAATAATAACTACATTTATCGACTCATTTTTGACCAGGGGATATCTTCTTTTTAATAACGGGCAGGTAATCCGGTGTATAAAGCAATTTTTGGCTGGGTATATCTAAAACCGCATTTACAAAGTAAGAAAACAATATTGAAATTTATGCTAAAATTTCGAAAATTTTACTCCAGTTCACATTTAAACAAGTAAGCAAACGCTACAGTCGAGCGGGGCCGACCGTTGAATACCATACAACACTATAATAAACGATACAGTTTATATAGCGAGATACTCGAAAGAATTCCACAAGATATTGTGACAAATAATAAAAGAAAACAATCAGGTTTCGTTCTCTAATTTTCGAATAATAGCAACTTAAACTAATTTGCTCATTTCCACTTTATTATACCCTACAACATTATGTGTTGGGGTATTATAAGTTTGATTGGGCCAAAAATTATGTAACACTTCGAAATATTGATTTCCCACATAGGAAAGTATACATGGATCTTCCTATCTCGCCGAGCTGAGTCGATCTAGCTATGTATGTCCGTCCGTCCATCTGTCCGTCTGTCCCTGTTAATTTGTAATCACTCTACAGGTTGCAATTATGGCCCGATCTTCACGAAATTTAGAATGAAGGTGGGGACAGGGCCAGAATTGAACCCTATTTCTTTTGGAGATGATCGCATAATATTAAGGGGTTGAAATGGACCAAAAACTGAAAAATTTCTTGATTTTGTAGCTGCTCTACAGGTCGCAATTATGGACCAATCGAAGTAGAAGTTAGCATGAAGCTATAGCTAAGGGGTGGCTAGAAGTCTTCCAATTTTGATGATCATCGGGTAATATTTAGTGGGTAAAATAGACCATAACATTTGTGTTAAATAAAAGTCAAAATTTCCATTAAACCGCGAATATTTTTAATCCCGACGAAATCACAAATAGACGAACGGTTCAATTCTGAGCGTTACGTAGATACCACTGGTAAATATATCGGATATATATTGCGAAATATATACAATGTGTATATACATAGGGGGGGGATGTTAGCTATATGCTCATCGGTTAACTCACCTTCAATACAATTATGCAAATATGTGGTAAATATTCTAAAAAATCTGATCAAAAACTCCAAATACAATGTAAGGGACTCGATGCAATTTAGAGATAAGATTAAAAACTTGACGATTAAAGACGAAGAGCAGATGGTCTCATTTGATGTTGTGTCACTTTTTCCAAGTATACCTGTGGACCTGGGACTAGAAATAATAGAGAAAAGATGGAACGAAATTGAGGAATACACCAATATGTCAAAGAGCTTATTTTTAAGTATTCTAAAGTTTTGTATTAAAGATAATCGATATTTTCAATATGAGGGCAGAATATACAAACAAAAGAAAGGACTACCTATGGGTTCACCAGCTTCTCCGATTGTAGCTGATATAGTGATGGAGAAACTACTTGACACCTGCATGGAAAAACTTAAGACGAAACCTGTGATATTAACAAAGTATGTAGACGATTTATTTATGATTGTTGGGGAAAATGCAATACAAGAAACATTGACGACTTTCAATAATTTCAACAAAAATATTAAATTTACCATTGAAAAGGAGCATAATGGTCCCATCCCATATCTGGACACACTTGTAATGAGAAAGGACAATAAAATAGAAATGAACTGGTATCAAAAACCGACGGCATCGAGTCGCATATTAAATTTCCACTCGAAACATCCAAAACAAATGATTATTAACACAGGTAGAAATCTTATAAACAGAATATTGAATATTAGCGACCATAAATTCCACGAAACTAATAAAAACAAAATTCGAAAAATACTGTCCAAAAACTGTTTTCCAAAATTATTAATTGAAAAATTAATAAATGACTATAATATACCGAAATCTAAGGACAAATCTCAAGAAAAATATTACAAATCAATGATTTATATTCCTGGATTATTTGAGAGATTCCAAAATTCCGATTTATATGACAAGGATAAACTGCAAATAGCAACACGGACAAACAATACACTAAAAAGTTTATTTACTAATACCAAAAGTAGAATTCCGTTAAGTGAGAGGCACAATGTAATATATAGCATTGAATGTGATGGAACAAAAGACGAAAAATGTGGAAAAATATATGTTGGTACCACAAAAAACAAATTAAAAACTAGAATATCGGGACATAAATCAGACATCAAATTAAGGAGCCAAAACAATATTCAAAAAACAGCACTTGCGGAACACTGTAAACTTTACAACCACATACCAAACTTTGACAAAATACGAGTATTACAGGCGGAGAACAACTACAACAGAAGGTTAACATTGGAGATGCTGCATATAAATAACATACCAACAAACAAAAAGATCAATTACAAAAGCGACACCGATAATGCAGCTTATTGTTATCGACACTTGACAAAGAAGAGATCGTGCAATACGTAGAAATAATCAGTGCAATAATAACACCAGACAATGGTAGTAAAAACTACATTAGCTGTTAAGTAAATCTGACAATTTTATGTAAATGTAAGAAATCTCTTTTTTGGAAAATAATTGTGCCCATAACAAAATGCTGTGATACTAATAATTATGTTTTCTAAAATAGATTGCCCCTGAAGATGCAATTTGATAATTGCGAAATATTGGGAACATATTATTGTAATCAATAAAATAAATCCGAAAATGGCCTAAAGCTCGAAAAAAAAAATCTTATTATTTATAAATCAAATAAAAAGGCTGATAAACAACCATTTCTCAAGAATGCTTATATCTCAAGAATGGCTGGACCGATTTTGACAAATTTTGCCAATTCAGAATGCCCTCTTGGAATAAAAGCATAAAATCTAAAAAAAATCGCATAAAAAAATGCCAGTTGTGATGTTAATATAGATTTTGTAGTATTTTGTGACATTTTTTTATTTTTTCATATTTTTTATCGCATGCGATTTTTTCAATTTGACTTATAATATTGAAATACACATTTTGTAGTATTTTTTCAGTTTACGACACAGGTTGGGATTATTATATACAGATTAAAATTATCGTCCGATCCTCACGAAAATTTTCACATGGGTAGGGTTAAGTTCAGAAGGGCTAGGCCTATTGTTTTCAAAGATGTCCGCAATATATTTAGGGGTTGAAATGGACCAACAACTAAAAATTTTCCTGATTTTGCAGCCGTTATAAAGGTACAAATAGAAACTAAAGGACACGATATCTCGCATGAAGTTAGAGTTTAGGACAGCGGGTAGAATGGACCACTGATTTTGTGTGAAAAAATACCAACATTACTTACAGATGATATCCGAAATACACAAATATGCCGATTTCGTTAACGAATATAGCCAAATATTGTAGCCAAGCAAATCATATGTATGAGTCTAAATTTGGAAACACAGAGGGGCCACTTGCTATCGGAGATTATCGCAAAATATTTAGAGGTTCAAATGAACCAAAAACAGAAAAAATTTCCTGATCACACAATTGAAGCCAATAAACACGCCTGCGCAGAAAGTTAAGGACAGGGAAAAATTCTAGGGCAAATGTCTATATTGGGCAAATGTCACTGGTCAAAATGCTAAGGGTAATATCTGGGCAGTGCTCTTTGACATAATTTCAAAAGCGATAAAGCTTCTTATATATTGTAGTGTTGTAGGGTATCACATGGACCCGCACGACTATAGCCTTTGCTTACTTGTTTATAGATGTTGCACGTAAATGGTATTCCTAGATCTGGAACCAATATTTCCCAAAGACCTATAATCTCTCAGAAGTGGCAAAAGATTAACATTTATTATTGGTTTTTGTCTGAAACGCATCTATATGAGATACAGACATTTGACTATATTCTTCAACGAAATCAGCGTTAACGAAATGGTTAGAAGTGCGTCTTTCCTTTATTTGTGAATTCTCCAAAAAGTCACTGGAATGGACATTTTCGTATTTTGTCATCCAAAACTGTTTGGCTTTTGCAATGTCCGGCAACCCCATTCAAATGTGCGTGAGGATCGGGCGATAATTACGACCTGCTGACAATTTTGCAGTTTTTTGGTCCATTTCAACCCCGATCATCTCCAAAAAGAGTAGGCTACAATTCTGACCCTCATCTTATCCCCATGCGAAATTTCGTAAGGATCGGGCCATAAATGCGATCTGTATATGATATCCTGAAATCCTAACTACATAGTTTTGTTAGCTGTAGAAATGTTACCAAATGTTTAATTCAAAATGAAAATATGCCAAAAATATGACAAAATTGAAAAAATATGAGAAAATGTTACAAAATCAATATTTTCAGCTTTAGAGAGATATTTTTATGCGATTTTTTTAGACGTTTTTTCTTTCCTGCCAAGAAGCCATTCTGAATTAATGAGAACTGTCGAAATCAGTTCAGCCGTTCTCGACATATAAGAGATCTTTCAAGCATATCTTCTTTGATAGACATATATATCGCACATATTTTGCTATATATCCGATTTGTTGGGTGTTAACATCAATGTAAAGATCAGAAGTAACCTTGTCATGGCTTTATGATTTCGCCGGGATTTAAAATATTCGCAGTTTACTGAAAAAATTTGAATTTTTTCAACACAAAAGATATGGTCTATTTTACCCGCTAAATATTATCTGATGACCACCCAAAATGGTAGGCTTCTTCCCCGCCCTAATCTCTAGCTACATGCGAAGTTCCGCGTCGATTGGTCTATAATTGCGACCTGTATAGCTACTGCAAAATCCGACATTTTTTCAGTTTTTGGTCCATTTCGACGCCTAAATATTATGCGATCATTTCCAAAAGAAATAGGGTTCTATTCTGACCCTAGCCCCACCTCTATTCTAAATTTCGTGAAGATCGGGCCATAATTGCGACCTGTAGAGTGATTACAAATTAACATGGACAGACGGACAGACGGACGGACGGACATACATAGCTAGATCGACTCAACTCGGCGAGATAGGAAGATCCATATATACTTTCCTATGTGGGAAATCAATATTTCGAGGTGTTACATAATTTTTGGCCCAATCTAACTTATAATACCCCCAACACATAGTGTTGTAGGGTATAAAAATCTCGTCAAAAGATACCGGCTAAATCAGAAATTTAGAAATTTTCAAAAAATAAAATCCTTAAAAAATTATGATAAAATTTAAAAAAAAAACCGAACATTGCCGTTATATTGGAGTCAATACGACGTGGACCTACATAGGTATTGCTTGTCATAAGTCATTACCATATTCAAATTCGAAACTTGAAATAAACGGTGAATAATGTAGCTATAATCAACAAAATATCGTATATATCGGAGATGTGCGAAGACCTGGACCAGCATAGACAATATTCTGTCATAGGCTGTAGCATCCATTACGAACTTAAAATACGACTTCTCAAAAAATTTCGGTGGGTATTGTACCTAAACTCGTCAAAATACCGAATAGACCGAAGACCTGGACCTGCATAGACAATTTTCTGTCACAGACTGCAATTCCCATAACGAAAAATAAATACGTAATTTGAAACAATTCTGGTGAATAATGACGCTACAATCATCAAAATACCGAATATTGGGAGGTACCGTAATATGGGGGCTATACGAAGAAGTGGACCGACAATTTTCTGTCTTAAGGTGTAGTATTCATTTCGAACTTCAGATACCAAATTTGAAATAATTCCGGTGAATAATGTCGCTAAAATCATCAAAATATCGAATATCGGGAGGTACCATTATATGGGGGCGAAGAAGTGAACCTGCTCAGACAATTTTCTGTCTTAGGGTGTAGTATCCATTTCGAACTTTAAATACCAAATTTTAAATAATTCCGGTGAATAATGTGGCTAAAATCATCAAAATACCGAATATAGGGAGGTACCCTTATATGGGGGCTATACGAAAACGTGGACCTACTTGGCTCATTTACGAACTTAACTTTGTTGGGTCTGACAGGAGTATTTCGAGGAGTTACAAACGGAATGACAAAGTTAATATATTCGCCCCATAGTATGGTGGAGGGTATAAAAAAGCATCTAAGTTCGGCCGGGCCGAACTTTTAATACACTTCATCATTTGCAAGGAACTTAAAAAATATTAAAATCAATTTTGTCGAAGAAACCGACTAAGAAAATCGTTGTATGGGGGATATACCGAGACGAGGACCTGCATAAGTTATTTTTTGTCATTGGCTGTAGTAACAAGAAAATTTAAGTTATGTGTGAAGGTTTTCTTGTTTGTAGTTATTAATACTGAACGTAGCTAGTAAAGAAAATAAAATATATTAATAGTGAGAAAATAAATTAATTATTATTCAAATGATTCCCTTACTTAAAATGAACGAGTTAAAAAGCAATAAGTTCGGTCAGGCCGAACTTTGTATACTGTCCAACATTTGAAGCGCATTTGGTAACTTAAAACCAGTAAGGAAAAGTCAAAAGCCGGGCATATTTATTATGCATTTTTAGTAGACCTCCCGTAACAAAAGAATTTATTTCAAGTAGACATACAACCTATCAAAATTTGGCTTTAGAGCAGATATAGTTTGCTATAGAGTGCATGATGTTACTTGGAGAAGGATTATATTAAAAAAATATATATTGTCCCGAAATTCACTCCATTTTGGCCGATATTAGATATTATTGGCATAATAAATCTGAAATCGTATTAAGTATATAAATAGGAGCCATATCCAAATCTTAACCGATTTCGATAGAGGTAAAAGGGCAGAGGTAATTCCGAGCCCTATAAGATATCTGATACCAAATATCATTGTTGTCGATTGCATATTACGAAGTTGAGGAACTTAAATACAAAATCGGATGAAACATATATATGGGAGCTATAGCTATATCTGAACCGATTTTCTCCGAGTTCGATGTACTTGCTCCTAGGCTGAATTTGGTCGGATATGCATTTTGGCCATTTGTTGCACAATTAACCCGAAATCGGTTGAGGATATATATGGGAGCTATATCCAAATCTGATCCAATCATCACCAATTTCAATAGGGTTCGTCCTTGGGTCAGACAAATTTTGTTTGGAAAATTTTAGCTCAATCGGATAATAAATGCGACCTGCATTTTGTTCACAAGAATACATGGACGGACGGACGGACTGACGTGCATAAATCGAATCAGAAAGTGATTCTATGAAGATTCTCAAAAGTAACTATTCCTTCTCCATGTTACAAAAAAATGCACGAAGACATACTACCCTTACCACCATGTGGTGTAGGGTATAAAAAAATAATAATAATATAAAATTGAATCCGTTGAAAATTCTATTAAAATCATAAAAATACGGAATATAGGGGTTACAGTTATTTTTGGGGTCTATACGAAGACGTGGACCTGCGAATTTTTGCGTTACATCATTTACATCATTTTTCGGGGCTTGTTTCGGAACAGGTGATTTGGACTTAAACTTCGATGACAGATAGACCTAGACGTATAGTATCAGAGAATTATTACAAAACCTTGAAAATATGAAGTAGCTGCTTAAATATAAATAGAGGCGATTGCTATTAACCCTTTGGGCAATGTAGAATCAATCCAAAAAGGCCTTAACAGCACAGGAAATTTCCCTATCGTTATTGACTAAATTGTATTGTAGCATTAGAACAGTCTATGGAGCAGCAGAGTCCCTGACCATTATCAAAGTGGGAAAGCAAGCAGACAACTAAAAAGAATCCTATTGCCACTCAC